TGCTTTGGGAATAACATACCGCAATGTCTTGGAGAAGATCAGTTCTAAATCTTCTTGTTCCTGGAACAACATTTCAGCAGAATTCCTGGTTTCTTTTTCTCTTGTGATAACCCAATATTTATTTTATTTTGATCACACTAGAAGGCAAATGATGTTATACCTTCTGAGATCAAATAACTTTCCTTCAAAGAAGTTTCAAAGACAAAAGACGCCTCCTTTTTTAACACAGCAGAAATCTCTTATGCATCTGTTCAGACCCTTTCAGTGTACTTGATACAAGTTTCTGAGACCCGCACTAAAAACACACTATACTGTTCTCAAAGGTGTATGTGGGATATTGTCTCCAGATCTTGCTTCTGATTTACAGGTACAATAAATACACTTTTCATAGGAATCAGTGTGCTCCACAGAGTTACCAATTGCATTAAAAAGTGAATAAATAAGGGAGGGGGCTTGTTAACATGATAAATTAGTGCTATATCTCAGTTGGAAAAAAGGAAAAGAATGACTAAAACGAAAAATAAAATAGTGATTTTGTTACAGGTTCAGAGTCCTTCTTGGATGCAGCCTCAACCATATATAATGCAGCACCCAGTAAGTTTTTATGCTTCTCCATTGTTGTGTTTACTGATTATATATACACGTATAAACACTTTAAATACTTTATAAACAACAGGAAATAGGTCAATTCACACCCAATTACTTCCAGAGTTTTGATAATTACATCATGATTAAATCATGGATCAAAATGAAGAGGAAAACAAAGATAGTAACCTGGATTGGGGCCTCATTTTATTAGGAAGAAAAGAAAGCTGCCTTCAAGGTATCGAGGTGATAAGGACAGTTAGGGTTACCAAGTCAGGATCCTGAGGAAACTTTTTTTTTTTAAATGTAAATGAAAAGCACTTTGCCAATACCCATGTTTTACATACTGTTTAGCTATCAGGAGCTGGAACTGAAGACCTGAGGTTTTAGAATGGGTCTAGCATAGTTCAGACTGGATAATTTGAGAAAGACAGATGAATCTAGTGATACAAATGACATGATGGGCAGTCACTTGGGAAAACCTGCATAGCTTGTTCTGGCTTCACCGCTCATGAGTAATGCTGGTCTCCCTACACTTTTGGCTGTGGCATCTGTACCAGACTGTCAGGCATTCTAATGCGTACTCTCCAGTGATGTTTTACTTCTTATCTATGTCATTTGCCAATTAAGTACCATTATATCTGAGACCTCCTAGGTTTCTTGGGATGAGCATTACAAATAATAACAGGCACTTTAACGTATGCACTCCCGTAGTTTACAAACTGCTTTGTTTCCAGATACAGAAAGGATATTGTCTTGACTTTAATTAACCTCTCCATGCAGATTATAGAATGTAAATCTTCTTGGCAGAACATTTTCTTCTTGTGCATGCAGAGAAGGTGATACTAAACCAGAACACCCTCTCACACACTTAATTGTTGTTGTGTTTCTGGTTTTTGATGTTAAACACACATGCACACAACTGTTTTTAACTTTTCTATCAGCAGAGGTTTTCATTAAAAAAACATCTTTCATGTCATGCTGTGAAAGACACTAGTCGGTATGTTGTAATGCTATAAGGTGTCCTAGTTTCACAGGTATACAAGATGAGATTTCACAGTTGAAAATAAAGATCTAGATTCCTGACAAGTTCGGTTTTGGCCTGTGCAAAGACTGGTGCTGTCTTGCTCATTTGCTTTGCAGAGAAGCCTGCAGTCTACAGACAGGAAATTCTTTTAGTGTTTGATGTGCCTGTGACTCATTTCATCTGCACTGATCACATGGTTGTTTTTCCAACTATACTCTGCATGTTTTTTTTCTTTTCTTTTTTCTTTTTAAAGATTAGTTATTGATTCAGAGTACTGGCTTTCAGTACACTGCAATTATTTCTGTTAGTTTTAAGCCTCCATTGATTTTAATCAATACTTCTGCATGCATAAGTCACACAAAGTATTTGGAAACGTGTTTTTGTTGAACATGATTGGTAAAATGAAATATGCTGATAACTCTCCATTTCAGATAACTCTGAAAACCTTATGAGTGTCCCCTCCATATTTAGGAAGCTCACGTGTTTAAAAATTCGGCATACACTTTTTATGAGATTAAAAAAATGGTACAGGAGTGATAGAAAGGTCATCACAACAGCTAGTAGTTAGACAAAGACTCAGCATTGCTAACCCATTCTTCTAAAATATGTGTGCTAATGGAATCAGCCATTAGGTAGGGCAGCTGTCTTGTACGTGAATATCGCATGTGACTGGTAGTATTATCCTAACACAAATGTTCCTCCAAAGCCTCCATTCCTAAAGATGAGATAAAAGTTTCTTTCTAAAGCCTGAAATTCCAAAGCTTAAGCTAAGTGAATCTATACCTGGCAATGTGTGCAAATTTTTGCTTTAAAGTTAGCATCTGGTTAAACTCATGTTTTACAAAGTATTTTCAGCAGGTGTCTCAAGTGCATTGTACATCAGTTGTGTGTTCAGTAGGAAGTCAATGCAGTTCTTACCCCATTCCCAAACTGCACAAAACGCATCTGCTCGAGTAGAATATTCAGAATGTCCCAGACCTGCATCCTGAGTCAGTGCCTGGGATTAAGAAGAGTTCCTGTGGTATATCGCCTCGGAAGGACAGCCCATACTTAGATTCTTCAGTCAAAAATGTAATTAAAATCTGAGTGTTGCCGCAACCATTTCTTTCTTTCTCTGTTTTAATAGGGTGCTGTACTGACTCCCTCCATGGACCACACCATGTCACTACAGCCTGCATCGATGATAAGCCCTCTGACACAGCAGATGAGTCATCTTTCATTAGGCAGTACTGGAACAGTATGTAGCAATTTAGTACAAAATAGAACTTACACAAGTTGAAAATACTGCGTGTAGATCACAGTATGCATGTGCAGCTTACATGTAGGAAAAAAATAATCCCTTAAATAGTCTTTCTCCAATAAAATATTGTCTCCATTTTAAAATCACATTCAGTAGTTTTTATTCAGTCTGTTAGCTGATCAGAAATTGGAAATGAGTAAATAAAAATAGATCAAAGCAAATGAAAGGAGCCCAGGAGGCAATTCCAGAGTTATATCAAAAAAGAAAAAATAGCTGTTTTTTACTCTTCAGGAGTTCAGAGTTGCAGAAAGTAACATAAAGTGTGGAACAGAAACTAAACCAGAAGAAGACATGCAGGCTAGCTTCTAAACTGAAAGATCCTTATTTTCCTAGCAGATAGAATTAAAAAAAAAGAAAAGATGATGACTGGGATTAACAGAGAAGGAAAAGTCCTTTTCCTAGTCTTTGAAGTCCAAATTTGAGTTTTCTCGAAACAGGTATCTCACTTTTCTGAAAAGCCTATTGATTTTCAGACTCAAGAGTCTTTCTCTCATGTATTTTGCTTTATCCGTTAAACAGTATCATGATAGGTATTTTGAATACTCTTAAATTTACATTGGGCTTTAACTCAACTTAGTGGACTTTTGTCTTTCTAGTACATGCCAGCCACAACAGCTATGCAAGGAGCCTACATACCCCAATATACACATGTCCAGACAGCAGCGGTTCCTGTTGAGGTCAGTATATTTTATAAAAGACCACAGATAAGAGATGTGAATATGATACTAGATTTTGTTTGCTAGGAAAACTACTGTTTAAAGCCTAACATTATAACTGTGAATGTACTGTGACTGCAATGTATATTAAAACTACATAGGGTCTTTATTCTCAGCTAATATAAACGGTATTGTAACAAAGAATGATGTGTACTTCTGTCAGTATAGTACTTGGAGCAGTCTTCCCTATGAGCGTAGCTCAGATGAACTTTGTGTTTTGTGAAATCTGACTTCCAATAGGAACAAGCCAGGGGGTATATTGTAGTTTTAATCTTTCATTTAGTTTTCCTGTGAGCAAACCTTCTCTGCCAACAGACTGTGATTGTAAGTTTTTGCAAAGAATCCTGATTTTACCCTGGCATTTCAGGATACTGTGCATATTTGCCTAATGAACACCTCTGCAAGTCCAGTTGAAGAGCATCATTAAATGGTAGACAATAGTTTGTCTACTATTTTGACTTACCTTACACCCTTTCATAGGCCAGTACTTTTTTAACAGGGGAGCTAGACAAGGTATGCTGCAGCATTTCTATTCAGAATCAGTGCTAGACAGTCTCTTCCAGAGCCTGTAAGAAAAAATATTTCATTTCAAAGTCTATTTGTCCAGAAACTCCAGAACTTGTTTGGTTCAGTTCAGAATCTGCCCATGTGGGTCGGAGAAGTACTTTTGGTAATTAGCTGATTGCACTATCTGGCAGAGCACTATCAGCTGAATTAATTCCCTGGTTTCTGGGGGGTCTGTGTGCAAAGTCCCAACTACAATTCTTTGTGTTGCTTAGTGCCAATCACACCACGGTATTCCAAGCGATTGTGTTTGTACATGTGGTAAGTAGATCTCATTCTTCTTGCTGTCCTCCAAAAGGAGAGGGGCAGAATGCTCTTTTGCATTTGCAGATAGAAAATATACAAGCAGTTGTTTGCTCCCTCTGTGTATTTATTTCTATAATGTCAAAGGTTTGTGGGTTTTTTAAATTATCATCAAAGCATCTGAGGAAATACCAGGTTTGCATGATCGATTTATTTCTCTGTTTGCTGAAATGTAAATCAATGCAGAGTTAACACCTCAAATTTGGAATACCCCACTTGAGAAATGCTAGAAAGACTTTAGATTCGAAGACTGTTAATTGCATGAGTCACATGGAAATACAGATTGCAGATAATGCTGCCTGCTGTTGTCTCATGTCTTGTCTTCCTTTTTCTTGCAGGAAGCCAGTGGTCAACAACAGGTGACAGTAGAGACGTCCAGTGACCATTCTCCATATACGTATCAGCAAAATAAGTAACTGTGAGGTAGGGGCTCATCCTATCACATGAAAGATATGAATTCAAAGATATTTTATTTCATAACTTGCAGTACAATGTACTGAAACTTTTTTTTTCATGTCCTATAAATAACGCTGATAATATCTGGGGACAGGCAGTGAAGTTAATTTGAACTTGAACAGAGTTGGAAGCCAGGGAAGGAAGCACAGGTTCCAGAAGTGAGTTAATGAATTATGAGTAATAGTGTTTTAATAATTTCTCTATAGCATAACTGCATTATGTTGGATTTTGATTTGTTCATCTTGGCAGCGTGCTGTGTACAAGAATAACAATGAATTAGTGCAAAAATAGGAGAATCACAATGCTAAAGGGAACTGCATTTATATATATATCCTCTAGTTCTGTGGTATGCTTAAGATTTGGAAGCAGCTTTTTACAGACCACAGGCAGGGGGGTGGTCTGGTAGAAATCCTTGTGACCTTTTCTCCTGAAGACTTCCCTGCTCATCCTTTATTCTAGGAAAAAGCAGTTTGGTCCAGAATTTTGTCAATTGATTTTTAATCCATGTCCTTGTTTGACTCTAATTCCAGAGTTTTGCTTTCATACTCCACGTTTCCTCATGGCCTTTTCTACTAACCAATCATTAGCTTTACCTGGACTCCTTCCACACAAAAGTTTTGCTTTCTGTAAATTGCCATCCTGAAAATATGGTTTGCACTAACCGTTCCCTTCTCCATCCTCCACGTTTTAAGATTCTGGAATTCAGTTTTTCATTAACTCATCTTTTTCCGAGTGCTTTGTCAGCCAGGCAACTTGACTTACATAACGCATCAAATTTTGTGAGACCTCATATTGCAAAATTCCGATCAGCTGCAATAATGTGCTGGAGGCTGTCTTTGAAGGGTTTTTCTGCGGCCCTCGCGGCATTTACTAGGTACTCAGAAATCATAATCAAGTTATGTGCAAAGAATTTCTAATGGTGTGGTATTCTCCCTAAAATGCATAGATCTAACAGTACACACATTTTGGTGTTACCTTTGATTTTGCAGGTCGGCTGTGCTATTTGAGAACACTGCTTTCATCCCCATTATTGGCATAACAACTTCTTATATGTTCAAGCATGTAAAGATAGAAAGAAACCAGTGGGGAAGCTTCGCGCATTCAACAGATGGCACAGTCTGCATAGCACAACACATGACCTGTGTTTATTATTGTAGTCTGGCCAAATGCTGGCATCTAGAGAAAGCCCACATCCTTGATTTGCTTCCAGGGCAGGGAGAAAGCAAAGCCACAGGCTCTTCTCGTTATCCATCTCCTAGTGTTAGAATCATGGCTCCTGCACGTTTCCCATGCCAAGGCTGTTGGCTGGTGTTAACCACGTTGCAAGGAATTATTTGTTTTGCCTTAAGTCTTCCCTGTGGGCCTGTAAAACCTCCTTACCCATACAGATCCGTGGTAGACGGCAAAGCTTAATCCTGCACGTCACCTCCCCGTCCTGCCTCTCTCTCCCAGCCTGTCGGTATCTTTCCCATAGACTGGGGCCAGACAGGAGCAGCAGCGTTCAGTTTCCTGAAAGGATGAGACGTGATGCTATCGAGACACAGTTTGTAATGATGACTCTGTGTAGAATACTGAGCTCTGTGAGCAACTCTGTATGTTTGCTGTAAACCAATCCTCCACGTATTTTATTCTTCAGAGAAGTAGCGTTACGTGTATTTATATGCAGTAGGAGCCAGTGAAATCTCAGTCAGCGGTGGCTATGGCAGTGGGCATGTGGGGAAGGTTAATATTACTCAGCTGATTTCAGCCTCAGAGTATGGCATTTGGTATTTCTGTCCCTGGAACATGTTGGTACTTGTCATTTTTCAGAGAGGTGAAGGGCAGGGAATTGACAGTTATTTCTTGCCCTAAATACAGGGAACGCTGCAGTCTCTTAATTGTTGAGGCTTCGTTACTATTGTCAAACTGAAACTTTTTTCTAAATGCAAATGCAGGACTTTTGGGAATGTCCTATTAGAGGTCAGTATACATATTGCCATAAATAAGGGGTAAATGACAACTAGCACATTTTCGTAAGTGGGTGCAGTTGGTCAGAAACACACAGCCTCCTTCCTTTGGTGCCTGCCTTTAATAGCTTTATAGCTTCTTTTCAAAAAGTTGCTACTATGTGAAAATAGTGAAAGGGACTTGGGGAAGAAAAGAAGTTAAACATGCACCTGTAAACGTGCAAGCCTTACAATACCAGACTTTGTCTTGCCTTGAGAAATAAAAAATTGTCTAAACTTTTTTCATTAGCTGGGTGTTTGTTTAAACCCATGTGGCAATTTAAGCCAATACAGTAAATTGAGAAGTCTTCTCTCAAATTTAGTGAGCCCTGAATTGCTCTGAAGTATTAGCGATCGTGCAGGCACAGCAGCTGTCCGTGCGTTAGCTGTTGTACAGACCCTCCCTGAGGCTACATCAAAGGAAAGTTGTGTTCCTTTTCCAGAGATCAGAAGCCTTGGAGGTGCCGCAGAAGTTAAGCTCACACACTTTTGGTCAATCAAAAGGAAACAACAATAACAAAACAAGAAGGGAATAGCTTTGAGTCCAATCTCACGGTTCCCCAGTGGGAACTCTGCGTGCTGAACAGGTATTGGAGACAGAGGGGGAAAGTACGATACAGGCTGTATCCTGGCGGAGAGCCTTATCCTGGGAAGGGCCGAGCATCTGTGGTGCCGCCTGTGTTACTTCTCAGATTCATACTCGGATTCACTTAGTCTTCTCACAGCTGTCTAACCCAGGAAATGATGTCGTTTTATGGACAGCTACATTAACAAAAAAGCGTGCAATTGTAACTCCGCTCTAGCTCTGACCTTTCTGTGTTGCAGATGTCCAGTGTTGACCTGGCCTGGAGAAGGGTGCAAAGGCTGAAACAATCATGGATTTTACTGATCAATTGTGCTTTAGGAATTATTGACAGTTTTGCACAGGTTCTTGAAAATGTTATTTATAATGAAATCAACTAAAACTATTTTTGCTATAAGTTCTATAAGGTGCATAAGAAAAACCTTAAATTCATCTAGTAGCTGTTCCCATGAACAGGTTTATTTTAGTAAAAAAAAATTTTTATCAAGTGTTATGACGCAAAAAAAAAATATTCAAATTTCTGGGTATGCACAAATGACCACGAAGACTTATTCAAGTGCATGACAGAATTTGTGTTTTGGTTTATTTTTATTTTGTTTGTTTCTTTTTTTTTTTTTTTTATTAATTGTATGAAATGGGTTTTCTGAAGTTTAAAATAGTAAAACATCTAAGATGATGTTCTGTGCTTGCAGTGTGTGAGTGTTGCTTTAGTGCAGTGTTGCAGTTATAGTGTCTGGTCTTTTAGCTTTCTGTTTTTCTTTTAATGTAGTGTGAAGTGTCTTATCCTTTTCTATAAATTCCAATTTGCCTTAACTCTTTCAATGCTGTAGCTGTTTCAGTAAGTAGTCCAAACTAATGGTGTAGAATGCTTTGACCAAATGAGCTGGTCTATTATGCCTTGTAAAACAGCAGCATAGGGCTTTTAAAGGTAGTCAATAAAAATTGCTGAAAATTTGGCTTTTTTAATGTGTAGTAAGTGTTTTTAATGATTTTTCACATAATATGTAAGGTAGTGAAATGCAAGAGGGGAAAAAATGTTTTGTGTGAAACACATTTTCTGACTGGGGAAATTTTAATAGGGTAAATTGTTTGTAAGGCCATATGCCAATAGTTCCCTCTGGTAGTTTGAACGATTTAGGAACTCTGCTGTATGATGCAATGTAAAATCTTTTTTTGCCTTTTTTCAGAAACTAACTTGATGTTCTAGTTTTAGCGTAGGTAGAGTGGGGAGTTTGGGGTGGGGATATCACCGAATGTTTTTGTCCTTCCTTTATACTAATGATAGTGCTTTAGGATGAGGATTGTGCTGAGACTTAGCAAACAGAAAAGTTGCTATTACAGCAAAATGGCAAAAGCTAAAGGACTCATTTTCAAACATACGCTGAGATGTAAGTAGAAGCATAATTGATTGGGTACTAGCTCTCTATAGTAGGTAAATAAAAATAAAAAGACTTGGCACTTTTAAAAGGTAACTTTACCAAAGAACAAAGAGCCAGTAACCAATAATTCTGTTTTGTCTCAGCATTACGTCTTCTGTACTCTTTATTTTTGCCGGACCAGTTTGCGGTTAGGAGAATGTGCCTTTTTTGTACATTTGCATTTAGGTTTTATAATTTTAATTGATGTATGGACACAAAAGCATGAAGGAAGACTTGGATCCAAGCAGTGCCACACTTTACATCATCACTACAAGTGTTAAGTGTAAAGAAAACAAATTTTGAAACTATGAAATTCCTGATTCATAAATACACAGTTATTTGTACTTCACATATTAGATAATTCACTGCTACTAAAGCTCTTTATTACAATTGCATATGTTTTAAATCAAATGATAAATTAAGTTGTCTTCCAAAACTGTGTACTTCTCTGGTCAGCTGTATATGATCAGTTATCTACCTCAAAGTTTATTTCCTTTTGTATTGGGACAGGTTGCTGGCCCTCCCTGTTTCCACAGACCAAATCATCCTAGCTCGGGAGCTAGGGCTAAGCAGTTGTTTCTTTCAAGTATTTTTTAGTTTTTAAATTTTGTGTGAGTATTGGAGTATAGATGTCGGTGACATTTCATAGTTTCAAAAGTAAATTGCTGCTCTGAGAAGTGTAGATTCTAGTGAAATACATAGTCATAAGAGATGTGTTTTTGTTTTTTCTTTTTTTAAAAAGTTGTGGTATTATTGGTTCTATGCTCCCTGGAATATTACTGCTTTGTAGAAGTCCAGACTTCCTGCAGCACCTTGCCTGTATCTGGTAATTTTCCAAACCTGGATCTCTCACTACTTGATACTTTTGCGTTAATTAAAACTGCAGTATGATAGCTGTGTTAGAGGGAGGGAAGAGCTGCTGCCAGAAATGTCTGAACTAAGTGCCATACTCATTGTCTGGGTAAGATTTGGGAAATTTAACCTCTGTACATAAAGAAATAATCAGTTACTTAAACATCACATAGTAGACAGCCATTAAATTATAAAAAATTAATTTATGAAGAAAGACCTTTTGTACAGATTGAAAAAAAAAGATTTTCATAGAGATATCTATATGATCAAGAGAGTTAATTTTTTATTTTTGTTTTACTAGTGCCACAAACTTGCCAGTGGTAACTTATTTGTCCGGTTCAAGATAACTCTGTAGTTTTGTTTCCTAGGACTTGTTGTTAAACGCCAAAAGACATTTTTGAACTGTAAATTTGATTAGATTGTTAGCTTTTTTCTGTTTTATTTCTTTGAAAACTTTTGAATAAAAAACATCCAAAAAAATGAAAATGCGTTGTCTTTTTTCCTTCAGCCCTTCCTTTATTGGGGGAAAACCCAAGCAGATGATGGTAAAACCTTTGCATTTATTTTGAAGTGCTTGGAGTTGCTTTCTGCTTTACAGTCGGGCTTTCTCCTTCCTCTGTCTTTTGTTAAAGTTTAACTGTTTCAAACCACACTACAAAGTCACTTACTCTTTCAGACAAAACAGGAAAAGATGTATGAAAAATATATGGTGAAATAACCTGATTTGAATGCAAGAACTCTGTTGTCCTCTGTGTCAGCCCGCACAGAGAGTTGCATGTAACCAGGCCTGCTCGCTGTAGTTGTGAATACAAGCCAGTTTGCTCGATGTAAGGGCAGAGATGGAGGGTCACTTTGGTAGTTCATAGCATTGAACTGCTGCCTAAAAGTGCTTTCGTCTTCCCAAGTGTAGTGGCGTTGGCTGGCATACCCAGTTCTGGAGAGCAGAGGTGATACTTCACTGGAATTAAAAATTGTCCCAAGTGTGTGCCTTCCAGCTGCAATCTTTGAGCATTTTATTTCTTTAAAGATAGTCTCTGGTTTTCTTATCCTTTTGGCACGACCACCACTGCTGATGGTGTGTATCAGGTAGAGGACTGCCCTGCCCAAAATAAGGCATGGAAAGGAAAAAGAGTAAAACATCAACAAGCGTGTCTCCTCAGCCAAATGCTTTTCCAGTCACACAGTCCTCAGTACAGCTTTGTATCTACACGTATGGCAGGAGAGGGGCTCTGACCCAGTCTTGGGTGCCTAAGGGTGCACCCAGTGGCAGAGAGCAGTGGCTGGGTGATCCAGTGGGCTCCCGCACCTCGCCACCAGTGCTGGATAGGCAAAGGGAAGGTGTGCTCACCTCGGGCTGTTCTGCCCTGGAGAACCCTTGGGACACGGTCCGTTGTTAGGCACCTGGTTCTGACAGACACCAGGGGCAGTGCCAGCCCTGTGCCAGGCCAGGCAGCCTGCTGGGGGTCAGCTGGGGTCATGCTGCAGGCAGTGCCCAGCCCAAGCTTTCGGTCACACGATACTAATGCAAGATGCTGAGAATAAATGCGTTTCCAGTAGAGATGGCGAAAGGGACTCACCTAGAGGTTAGGAAACTTGATTTACATTAGCTTATGCAATAAAGACATCCTCGACAATGATGGCTCTTACTGTTATTGAAGAGAAAAAAGCCTGACGCTGTGTGCTACTAAACACATTTAGACTCCCATAACTGAAGAAATGCTATTTTTACCATTTTGTGGTTATTGAAATACAGGTATAGCATGTTGCCTGTCTAAAATGCAATGGATGAGAAGATGAATACAGAAGACTTTTAAAGGGTTTTGTTACATTATGCCTGTTCACCGCCATACTGAATTAATCTCAGATTAATAAGCAGTCTTTTTGAATTAAGTACAAATACTACCTTACAAAAGCTATATGTAATAGACTTGGAATAATGTAGGTTAGAAAAGCTTTTTGCTATCTATTTGCTTTTCTAATTAGCCCCATGATAAACTTAGCTGTCTTACTGTAACTCCAAGTATATTTGATAAGAATGAATGCTTTCAGATTAGTGCCTTTTGCCTGATGTAATAAGGTTGTGTGTATCACTTCTATCAGGCAATCTGCAATAATGCAATGTCTTTATGTAATATACTTTTATGGTATATAATAAAACTCATTAATGACTGGCTTGTTCAAACGTTGACTCCATCCTGTTGCATGCAATTTGTTTTGAACCCTATTTGCAAACAAGCTGTTTATAAAATGTTTTACCTGTTAACAAATACCGATAAGCATCATGTTCATGAGGGATGATTTTATACTGATACTAATATTTTGTGCAAGATTATGCACAGACCCTGTGGTTTCTTGGTTGTTAATGATTAGAAAGTAGCCTTTCTTTAGGTGATGAACAAAATATTTTATCTTCCTCTGTTTTCTAACTAAACTGGGCAGTTGCAAGACAAGTGCAAGCAATGCATTAACATCAGCGTGACAAAGTACTGTTGATAGCTGAGCTCTGCTAATGACTGTTTGCATATATTCGGCTGGAATATTTGTGCAGTGAGCCAGAGTAGTCTAAAGCACTTTCCTGGTACTCTTTGTCAGTTTTTCTCAGAAAAAAAAAAAAAAAAAAAAAAGGTGCTGTTTTGCTCTCCCCTTCTAGCTTTAATTTATGCTATGGTACCCCCACCATACCAGACAAACTTGATGACTGACTAAAACTGCAGCCTCACTTTCTGCAGAAACATCATATGAGAAAATACATTTTATGTGCCAGAATATTTATATGAGTTTGTCCTCCTACTCCTCCTGTGCACACTTCACTGCACTTGTTCACTTTGCTTTGATCAACCACTCCAAAATTATTTGCAAACTTTCACATGCGTTGCAATAAGATACTCAATCCTGTCCTGTCCAGCAGTGTCTTATTGTGAAAGTCAATGTGCTATTTGGTGGCATTTAAGACATGTATGCTGTTACCTTCCAAACGCTTGCAACACTGATGTACTCCTTCAACTGTGAAAGATCATCTGTATCGTTCTCTAGCCAACAAATTCTGGCATTGATTAACCCAAACAAATCTGAGGTTTTTGGCTCTCAGACTTTGTCCATTAATCCTATCCAGAATAGGGGTTAGGATATACAAAACCTATTCTGTTTGGCAGCTTCTCCTCTAGCTAGTAAGAAAAGCCAAGCTGATGTCAGAACAGCAAAGATTTACAGTGCAGTGACCAGAGGGAGTGTGTAAAAGCCTGCATGTGGAAGTGAGTCAGTCTTTCCTTTTCAGGACAGCTCTAGCTGCATCCACTATCTGAGAAACCTGTGCAGCCTCTTTCTGCAGTAAAGAAGAAATCATATAAATCCCAGGAAAATACTACTGGGATTTTTTCCATGTTCAAGGAGAAAGGACAGCTTATCAACAGGCAAGCTTTAACAGTTTAAGTTATCTTGCCTTTTTAAGTAGTATCCCCTCACTTAGTACTTACATCAGTGGTGTTTGAATTCTGCTGTGTTTCATCGGTATCTCTTCAGCTGAATAACGTGATCTCTTCTGACAGCTTCACTGGGATAGAAAGAGATTTTTGGAGAACTTAAAAGAATGAAGGTATGTGGCACCCTAAAGACTTCCCACATGCACACTACAGATGTTCATATCAACCTGCTCAGGCAGCTTTCTAAGTAGCTTTACTGTTTTAGAGCCTACCATGCTAGTGTTGCCAAGGGAAAAAACATCTGGAAAATTATTTCTGCATGTACACTCTGCTGATCCTAAAGAAGTCATCTGCAGTAGGAATTTTCCCCAGGATTTTCACCACCTTAAATTCACACACAGGGCTGATGTTTTTAAGCAGTACCTGAAGCATTTAAGGGTAGTGGAATGAAACAATGGTTTAAAAGAAGGCCAAGGTAAAATTTACTAGTAAATAGAATGTTTGGTAAATAGTTTGAGCTTTTTGCAAGCACAAATAGAAAATGACTTTTCCTTTGTGTGCTTCAGCCTTTCCCCAATGGAAAATACTTTTCCACCAATGAGAAAATACTCTGCTAATCTTTTTTGCCTTCCAGTGAATGTAAAAAATATGAAAATGTATTTATAGGTATTTGGTACAGCCTTGCTTTTATATCAGTTTATCTTTAGCCAATCTCAAAGATAATCTGTAAGCAGACTATACATAACTAGGAGCATAAAGCAGTTACTTATTGACTACCTACAGAAAAGAAAGGTAGGATTTCACAAGCCATTAGGCTGAGTGCGAGTACGCTCACCCAGCAAGGTACCCGCGGCAGCTCTGCTGGCCAGGCAGGCATCGGGCAGGAGGGGAAGGGTCAGTCCTTGCAACTCCCCAAAGCAGACCCTCAGTGCTGTCGTGTTCTGTCTTCTGCCCAGCTCCGTCAGGGGCACTGATGGCCTGCCCCAACAAGCTGACCTGATGCTTCATGGCTAGCCCCGCTCGTTTCCTCCTTTAGATTTTATACCTTTCCATATTGCTGCTTTCCCTCCTGAATCCTTGAGCTCCTGGCAATCCTATCCCAACAGCTCTATCTCTGTCCGTAATTTTACCTTTCTTACCTCTCCACAGACTTTCTCACAGCTTTTTTTCAGCAGTCTGAGGCAAGGTTACGCAGCTGGGCCGCATCAGAGCTGGGCCTTGGTGCAGAGACAGCTCCAGCCCTGGGAGAGGGGAGGGAGGTGTATGGTCGAGGCTGCAGTGAGGGGGTGACGTACTCCAGGTCTTCCTTGTGTCAAGAAAACATCATTCAAGTGCAGCTGGAGGACTGGGCGTTCAAAGAGCTCCAAGTGTTGCTGTCTTTGCCAGAACAGAACGAAAACTAGGTTACAAACAACTTTAAGAGAGGCCAGAGTAGCTAGGTAGAATAAAATGTCTCAGAAATTACCAGCTGCATGTATCGTAAGTTCATGACCTCCTTGAGCCCTGCTCTGCCTACTTCCCATAGTTCAACAAGTTCAGCTGTCGGTAGGCACAGGGTTCATACCTGAGTGGGAAGGACGCAGCACATCAGCAAGTCACAGGCTTCACATACTGAAAAGCCCGTTGCCACTTGTGCAATCACTGAGCCGTGAGCTCCTGAACCACAGGAGTTACTGAACAAAGACAGCAGTAGGGATATATGGTTGCGTGTGAGAATGGGAACCCTTGGGTTTTAAATTGTTTCTTAATGAACTATAGTTGTATTTGAGAGTGGTCTAGTTGCATGTTCACTGGTGTCTCTAGAAATGACAAAGCTTTACCCTCCATTCTAGGGCAAATTTTCTCCTGAAGTGTTGAAAATCCAGATTTCAGTTATTAAAAAAAAAAAAAAAAAAAAAGAATTAAGCTGTTCCAGGAATTCCTTTACTGAAAATATTTTGCAGATGAAACTAGCCAGTCATCTCTGGGAAAACAATTCAGGACAAACCATACCATTGCGTGTATTACTGTAAGTGTATGCACAGCTCATCTGTTCCAGATGGTGATCATCTGATC